GGGGTTGGATTTTAATTTAAATTATTCTCTTACTATTTTTTTTTATTGGGCTACATCATGAAATCAAATTAGGCTTCGAAAAATTAAGAACGTTGTATATAAAGAAAGAAGTGTTTAATTATATTTTGATTTTCTTTAAAACGTTTTTTTTCATTGATTATATTATAATTTTATATTTTTTTTCATATAGCTTTCCGTGCAAATACACGGGTAACAACTAATTACAATTAACTTCAACTATTTGGCAGCCAACAATCAACTAGCATACTAGACCGGCTCCATGGCGGGTTGGGCCGGGCTATCCTTTCATAGGCTCGCCATGATAAAAGGTGGGGTTTGGTGGGGTTGTTAGCCCGTCATGTCGGTCCGTTTTGACATGTCACTATTTATTTGTGGATGTCAATGTATATTTAGTTATTAATATTTGCCATCACTCTAGTTTTTTTCTATTTATTGTTTCTTGCTTTTTTTCTTCTTAATTTTGTAGTGGGTCTTTAGTCAGATTGTCGGCGTAGCCAATTTGAGTGTTGTTTTGCTCGGTCGGAATCTCTTTCGGCCACGTCAATGGTGTTTGTTCATGTTAAATGAAACAAACTGTTCGTGAACTCATTTAAAACTCGGTCTGTTAAGGCTTTAAGCCGATTTCAATTTCATTTAAAATGTGTTTGGTGAACGAATCTTAAAAATTATGAATTACAAAAACTATTTTAGTATAAGATTAGAACAACTTTTACAAGTTACCCACGAAGTTTCATTTTAATTATAAATAATTACTATAATATAAACAAATCATATAAGTGAAAAAAAAAAAAACTATTTTAAAATATAAATAATAGTCCACACCCATTAGTGGCCTAGTCAATGTAAAAATGGTCCATACCCATTAGTGGCCCATCCATGTAAAATGGTCCATAACCATTTGTGGCCCAGCTTTTGAGGCCTGATCCATAGACCCAAAAACAAGAAAGTAGTTCATATTCAGTCATTCGTTCCCTCAGTAGTAGAAAGCCGCCGGAAAATGGCGAATGAGATATTACACTTCGAGCTGAACACCGGCGCGACGATTCCCTCAGTCGGGCTCGGTACGTGGCAGGCCGATCCCGGGCTCGTTGGTCAAGCTGTTGAAACAGCTATCAAGGTCCGTGTATAGGTGTCTCTATACATTTTTCTCAGCAATTTTTAGCTTCGTTTTGAGGTTTCATTCGATTATTTTTGTTTTGTTTTGTGGGTAATCCTAATTTTTGCCATCTTAATGCTAATTTTATCTTTCATTTTGAGATTCTATCGATTTGTTTGTGGGTGAATTCGAAATGCTGCCATTTTAGAGCTATTTTCTTCAATTGATGAGTGCTCGGTTTAGCCGTCGTGCAGAGAGTTGTTATACACGAAAAGAGCTACTCATGAGCCGGGCTGAGATTCATCATGCTCGTTTAAGGCTCGTTAGGCTTGAAAAAATTGGGGTTTTACATAATTTTTCTGAAATTTTAACATAATTCGGCTAGTTTAAGATTCTGTCATGTGGGCTGTGCTCGATTTATTAATCAGATTATATGAAACTGATTAATTTCTTGTACTTGTTCTTCTCGCTGCAGATTGGATACCGTCATATCGACTGTGCTCGAGTGTATGGCAATGAAAAGGAGGTATATATGCTTATTCTGTCGCATTATCTGTTCACGAGCTTACTCCCTTTCTTAATTTTTGGGAAAAAAAATGGTACTTCAGTTTGAGGGCAGTAAGCTTCACACTGTAAGAAACAAGCACAGTTTTTTTTTTTTTT